TGCTTCAAATTATACCGCGATATGGATTTTAGGCCATATCGCCCAGCCCTAGATGACAGCTTTTTGTCTTCCAGCTTCGCTCTCCCAGGTCTTTTTATCATGTGAAAAATCAGCTAACATACAGAAACACCAGTGATGAGGCGGGCGGCATGGGAGCAATGTCAGGGAGGTGAAGAGAGAGGGATGGGACGAGGAAAGGGTGTGTTTGGTGTTTGGGGAGAAATGGGAACGGCAGAGGTAGCGTGGGTGCGTCTGAACCAAGACGTCTTTCTGCGTCTGATTTCAGCTGTCAGAGCAGGACCGCTTCAGCCAGGCCAACCGGGTCTCCGTGAGAGCTGCACTTCACCGGACGGACTTTCACCGTTTTTACCAGATTTGTCTCTCGGGCTGCAGGCTGCGAGCCTTCAGTCCTCCTGAGGAAGTCTCAGACAGCCTAACATTTGGCACAGTGTAAACAGGGTTGTTATGCAAGCTTGATGTAGTAGCACTTTAACACCTTTGTACGTCTTTGCTGTTTTTCTTGGTTCAGTAACAGCGAAGACAGTGATGTTTGTTGGGACTCTTTTAAATAGTCAATGCCAAAGTTTGAGCTGTGACAAGGAAACTGGTGCAGATACGTGTGCAGTACGACCAGCTGCTGAAAATCCCTGCGTCCATCCTTGCAGCGTGTCACGGGGTGTCCTCAGAAACAAACACAGGGTGACCTGCGCACATCATTCAGGAGTTATCAGAGTCACATGATGTAGTCACATCTGAACAGAACATGGACATGCTGTAGTAATCCATGCTGCCTCACACAAACCTGCATAACAATAATAAAGTAAGATTATGTTACTTTTTTGGCCTTTATTGACAGGTACAGTAAAGAAATGACAGGAAAGCAGCTGGGGGGAGGGGGGGGCTGCGGGTCAGACTGTTAGCAATGGTGTCATGCTGACCGCACAGAGCTGTGCGTCTGCGTTACTGCCTGTTTGTGTGTTGGAGCTGTGAGCTTGTGTGTCTTTGCAGTTTGGTCGGCTGACACTTAGCCTGCAGACAGAATCGGCTCTTTTTAACAGCCGCCATGAGGAACTCGTAAAGTTTCCTGTGAAAATCTGTTTGAGGCGTTTGACACCTGGTGTCTGCTGTTTGTGGCCCATTGTGTTCAGCGTGACTTTATTTGGGCCACGCGGCATCGACGTTGACCTAATTCTAATCAGTAATCAACATCCAGTCGTGTCAGAGACCCCCGCTTTGGATCAATATCATCAGAACTAAAGCGGCTATTATAAATTAGACTCCCAGCATGCATTTCCAAGCCCACTCTCTGACCTCAGGTTTGACTCATGTCATTTATTGGATTCTTCTTCACAATCACATGGAGGGTCATCCCCCTGCAGATCCCCCACTGTGCACCCTGAATCAGCTGGTGTGTGGAGGGTGGTTCAAGTAGATCACACCACAGATGTGATTTTGGTGCCTTCTACCCCTCGCTCACGAGGACCAGCACCATCAGCTGGAGACACCGACAGAGCTGATGGTTTCACTGATTTTACACCGTGGGCCACGTATAACCCACTGTGATGTTTAGTGGGCCGGGCCAGTGAAAGATGTTTAAGTACACATTAAATCGATACAGGGACAGATGTGTTGGATCCAGTGGTCAGAATATGAACGTCCTTCGATGTCCTGACTCTGACTGGGTTTTACACCCAAACCTCAGACAGGAGCTCCAGCTGTAGCTTCAGTCAGCCTACGCTCGGCCCTCCTCCCGCCTGTCTCAGCTGCAGTGTTTAAAAGTGGAAGTCGGATGGGAGGGTCTGTATCCTCTGGCTGCTTTTCCTTGGCTCGGTCTTTATCTGTGGCCTTCACTGACTTCCTGCCTGGTTCTTTAACGTTTTTCCTCCTCGGCCGCTCTTTTTCCTCTCACACCGGACTTTCTGTTTTCTGTCACTGCAGTTTTTCTCAGGCTTCTGCTTTTTACTCCTGCTGGATTTGAGAAACTCTCCAGTTTTACATTAAAATGTCTCCCACAAAGTTGATTCTGTTCATCTGGATGTTTTCAGAGAAACGTTTCGTCATCATCAGGTGACTTCTTCAGTCTCAGCTGACTGCAGGTCTCCCCAACCTTTAAACAGGACATTTACACAATGACTAACAATGAGCTATGAGATCAGTTTCATCATTGTTAATATGCAAATTGTCATGATCAATGATCAACAACCACTAATCGAAGAGCACTGATCACTGATCGTGACAGTTTGAACATTAACAAAGATGTGACCTCACAGCCCATATTCAGTCATGTGTAAATGTCCAGGCTGGAAACCTGCAGTCAGCTGAGACTGAAGAAGTCACCTGATGATGATGAAACGTTTCTCCCACTGAGCAGATGCATGTGCTTGTATCAAGACATGAAAAGGTCTCATGTGGAAATGTTTGCAGCCGGGAGTCATGTTGATGTTATTACTCAGTGTGGTTTCCTGTGGATTGGTGTTGATTCACCACCATCTGTGAACATCTCTGAGTAAACGGTGAGTAAACTAGACTGCAGCGACCGACCTCCTGTTCCCCTTTTACAAAGTACCTAAAATGACTCTCCTCTGTTTCTACCTTTATTATCCTGGAAAAAAGTAACATGAGAAAGTTTGTGAGGGTGGTGCAGGATGTGTGTGGGGACAGAGACAGTGGTGTGCAGGTGGAGTGACAGGTGGGTTAAAGATGGGAGTGGGATACATCAGGGATCTGCTCCAAGCCCCTTCTTGTTTGCAGTGCTGATGGACAGGCTGACAGATGAGGTCAGAGAGGAGTCTCTGTAGACGCTGATGTTTGCAGACGACACTGTGATCTGTAGTGAGAGCAAGCAGCAGGTGGAGGAGAGCCTGGAGAGGTGGAGGCATGCTCTGAAGAGATGCAAGACAGAATACATGTGTGAATGAGAGGGTGGATGTGTAAGGAGTACAGAAGGTCAAGGTGATGAGCCTAAATACCTGGAGTCAGCCATCCACAGAGAGGGGAGAGTCCAGGTAGGGTGGAGTTTGTGGAGGAGGGTATCGGGGCGGATTTGTGACAGGAGGATGGCAGCGACAGTGAAAGGGAAGGTTTAAAGATGGAGCACGATCCAGCACACATGTCAACACGAGGCATCGCGTCTCTCAAAATAAAACCAGGTTAAGTCTGTGAGCGTGCGCTGTGACGAGTCCACGGACGCTGCAGATTTCAGCTCTGAGACGAGGCGCTGCAGCTGTCCTGCGTTTTCTTTCCTCCTGTTGGTCGCCGGCTTCAGTCTGAGGAGACGTCAAAGTCCTGACAGAGAGATGCCAGCGCTGACGACACTCGACGGCTCTCTGTGGTCACGTGACTGCACGGAAGCATGCATTACTGTGTTATTTATGATACGATCACATTATTGACACAGCATTGATCATGTTGTGTGTCACAGCTGCTGTGTAACGTGTTTCCTGGCTGTGTGGCGGCTGATCTCAGAACAGACGCTGCTTTTGTCTGAAGAGTGGAGGAGGAGGAAAAAGGTCGGCTGGAGGAAGCTGCTGTGACTCACTTCCTCCTCGGCCTTTGTCTTCCTGCAGGACGCTGCAGGCGTGTGTGTGCGTGTGTGTGTG